TAATTAAAGAGATTAAACTAGTTGGAATGGTAGTCTGTGACTTACCCAATGATAAGTTTGTTGAGCGCAGTCAGGGACTGTCTTCGGGAGTGAAATACTCTTTTGTTATGGCCATTGGGCTAAAGGTGCCCTTAATATGTGGACGTGGTCAGGGGCCATCTGGGTGAGTAGACGTACAACCCAGCCACATGTGTATATTTGGTAGTCAGGGACTACGCAATTTACACCATTTATTTGGAGTGGAGCCAGGGGCTCATGTGAGGTAATGGCATTAAAAACGCCAACTGATTGAGGGGAGCCAGGGGCTCATGTGAGGTAAGCGGGAATTTTAGTAATTTAAATTCTAGATGGGTTACAATTTTCACAGGTTGAGTTAATATTATAGAATGACGATGATTAGTAAATATTTCGCGGTCACTTATATATGTATATATATATGGATTTTAAGTAAGGATTAGCTTGCTGAACGATGATAGTATTTAGCAATTTCTTGCTGAGCTTGTGAGCTCACCCCTTTATTATTTTCAGGTGCATATGGATTAGCTTGCAAAGGAGGCTCAGTGAGAGAAGGAGATTTCCGGATTTCTACATTATGATTTTATTATTGTTTCTTAGTGAACACTTTGTAATAAGATTCACTTAGTTGGTGGAATTTTGAATTAGTTGGGGATGTAATAAATTTCATTTGGATTGATAGATTTTTGAATAAAAAATGTTTTCTTATTGATTTAATCATGGATTATGGTGGATGAATGATGTGAGTCACGTACCAAGTTTTAGTATAAGACAAGGGTTCTTGTGTTAGAATGTGCGGGGCGTGACAGTTTGGTATCAGAGCCTGACCCAGCCGGAAGTGTGCCGACGGGGACGTCGGGCCTCCAAGGGGGGAGGATTGTGATGACCTTGTGGGCGGGTGTGCCGTGGGCGGGTGCGAGAGACACTGTCAGGCTACCACACTGGCGAGCTACGGGTGCACAGTCCCACATCGCCTGGGTAGAGGAAAGGTGAAGTGCTTATATGTAAGTGTGTCATCTCCAATTGGTATGAGGCCTTTTGGGGTGAAGCCCAAGAACAAAACCGTGCGGGCTCAGGCCCAAAGCGGACAATATCATACCATGTGGTGGAGTGGGTCGTTACAAATGGTATCAGAGCCTGACCCAGCTGGAAGTGTGCCGACGGGGACGTCGGGCCTCCAAGGGGGGAGGATTGTGATGACCTTGTGGGCGGGTGTGCCGTGGGCGGGTGCGAGAGACACTGTCAGGCTACCACACTGGCGAGCTACGGGTGCACAGTCCCACATCGCCTGGGTAGAGGAAAGGTGAAGTGCTTATATGTAAGTGTGTCATCTCCAATTGGTATGAGGCCTTTTGGGGTGAAGCCTAAGAACAAAACCGTGCGGGCTCAGGCCCAAAGCGGACAATATCATACCATGTGGTGGAGTGGGTCGTTACATATACGGTAATAATAATTATTATAAAAACACAGTTATATTCAAGATATATCTTGCTACATTTTAATTTCAAGTGACATACAAGGCATAAAATTTTCATTCAACAGATTAACAGTTATATGCAAAAAAAAAAAAATTTAGTACATAGATCTTGACATTCAACTCACGAGGATAAATAAAATCTATTATTAATGATAGAGCAAATCTAACTCCGTTAATGATGAATGAGATCTCAACCATCGATATCGGCTGAACCAACTTGATTCCAATCGACAACCATAAATAAGGCATCGAGTCACCAAAGAAGGTATGAGGAAAAAACACCTAAACATTGGATATATAATTATTTTTCGGTTATACGATTACAAACATTAACTTGATCGTTAGAGGGTCCTTGGTCGGCCCCACCGGTGCCATCCGATGTGACATAATCTTCATTGTTTTGTAGATAAACGCCGTCATTCCGGGTCGCGAGAATTTTCGCATCAACAGTTTTAAATATAATTATATAATAAAAAATGATGAAATGCAATAAAACTTACTATGTAAGCATATGTAATAAAATAATGTCATATTCATACATAGTCCTTGTATTTAATAAATACTCGTATCATATTCAGTTTATGCTAGCATATCTATAAGATAAAAAATAAAAATAAATAAAAAATAAAAAGGGAAAAATCATGGTAAATAAAAAAAATTTAGTACAAAGGGTCTTGACATTTCTGGGGCCTTTGTTGGACAAATAGAATTTATTTTGATCCGTTTAATTTTAAGCTGCATAAGAACAAAATGGACTCTTAGAACTCACAAGAATATATATATATATATATGGACGTTCCATCTACGTTATTTGAGAAATGAATCAGACATTTGACAAACTAACCACATCAAACCAACTCAATTCAGTTTTCTTATAAATTACTTGTGGTCTATTGTGTAAACATAATTTTTTTATTTTTTTATTTTTTTATTTTTTTTATCAGTAATTGAGTAACCGTAATTTCTCCATACAAAGGATATCTTATCTTCCGCACTTTGTCAGGTAATGTTAATTTTGTTCTTCCTCTTGAAACTTTGAAGATTTGTTGCGTTACTTTTTTACTTTACAAAAAAAAAAATATACATATATATATATATATATATATATATATATATATATATATACAATATTATGTTGTAATTATTAGTGTGTTATGAACTACCTTAACCCATTTTGTCTTAATGTCAGAATTAAACTTGTATTATTGATTGAATTGTTTTGATTGGTGTGGAGTTATAAAGCTATAAGTGTCTATTTGGTAGTTGGTTTGTTTGAAAAAAATATGTGATTTGAGAGTAAGTCATCATTGAATGAAGATAGGATGGTGATTGCAAGGACTTTTCCGAGTAATACTGATGATCTTCTTAAATTCCAGAGTCTGATTGAAACTTGAGTTCAAAATAAAAGAGCATGACCTAATTTAGTCTTTATGGACTTGCCATCAAAAATTATAATCTAGTAGTCTGTTTTTTAATTTTTAAAGTAAATGTTGATAACATGATTTATATCGCCGACCTAACTCCAGGATTGTGTTTATAAAAACATAGTTCTGTTAAAATTAAACTCACTCATTTATCATCTCTTTTGAGATTACGTCTTGTACTCGAGAACTAAATATATTCTCTCTTTTTCTCATCACACTCACCATTCTCTTATATCTTCTCCCTCCCTCCCTCATCCATCTCTATGTATAGAGTCGACAAAAATTCCACGACTTGCCTACAATGAGTTACTGTATTAGTCACAACTCTAAAATAGAAACCTAATATGCCACAAATTCCTTCTCTTATCTGCAATCTTCACCTCACCTCAATTAGACTGCTTCAAATAATTTGAATAGGCTCATCTTCAATTTTTATCCCAATTGAACTAATTCTAAAAAACTTGAACATGTCCATCTTTTGCCGAACTCGGTACATACATTTGATTCGAAAATTAGGATTAATTCTAAATAACTTGAAAAGTGTACATAGGAGGAGACTTTATTGGTCACGTAAAAAAAGTTTGTGAAAAAATATGAGATGGTATGCGGTGGACATGGATTTGGAAATAGTTTTGATGATGGGAAGGCTATCCTTAGATTTTGTGACGTATAATCTTATAATACGGAACACCTACCTATTTTCAAAAGATAGATGAAAACTTAATAATTTTTAAAAGTAGATCAAATGTAAGTTAATTAATGTTTTTTAACTAGAAACGTGGATTGATTAACAAGTAAAGATTAATTTAACATCACAACATAGACTCTTATTTTGAATTTACATATAATAGGACAATCTAGTAGGAGAAGGAGAATCATAAATCCAAGGACTAGGTGAATAAATTTAAGAGGGGAGTAAGTAGAATTATTTAAAAATTGAATGTTAAAAGAAGTAATATGGAACCAACCAGACAATTATTTAAAAATATTTGGTGGGAAGATGAAGAACTCCAAAACATAGACAATAATAAACAAATAAAATTGTTAAAAATAAAAATTTATTATGTTTGTTTCTTGAGAAGCCGACGTGGCTATATCATATGGAGTAATTGTTTAGTTCAAGCATAGGTTCAAGACATAAGTTGGACCTGGTGATTGTGTTCTTCAACTAGATCGAGTACCCTACGTGGCCATTCATGTCTCAAAACATATTTAATTAGTCACTTGCACATTACCTTTTATGCCCATTCTCTTTGTTCTATTTTATTATAATTCTTTATTTTAAGCTCATGGCCCATTGTCAGTAACCATTCAAATTTTAAATTAGGGTTTCTTACCCATAAAAATAAATTTCTAGGCCCCACATAAGGGGACCATCCCCATTTTGGCCCTATCACATTTACTACATTGTACATCCGAACATTACACAACTTGGATCCTTTCATGTGCAGTAAGGACGGATCTAGGAATTCATACTAGGGAAAGCAAATTTATATAAAAGGGCTTTTTTTTTATAATTTTAATGGGGGGCAATTTTAAAATTTTATGAATATAACTGGAAAAAAGTATAAATTTAAGAGTGTAAAATTCAATAATAAAAAATTTCAGTGGGAGCGCATGCCCCCGCTAAGCCCTTTATAGATCCGTCCCTGTGTGCCCAATGTTTGATCATCTTTCATAAACATTACACCACTTACAACTAAATTTCTAATCCCTATTGAATACACTCGCGACAAAATTATTGTTTCAGTTTCAGATGAAAACAAAAACGTAAAATGAAAACGATTGCCAAACATGCCCTAAAGAAATTAAGGAAGACATTTTGCAGTTTATTCTCTCCTAGTGCACATTTTGAAGGCTACCAATGTATCCTTACACAAAGGCCATGTACCACCAGTAACATGCTCTTAGTGGACAAGAGCACTCTTAAAGACTCTGAATTAAGTCTCGCCTCAATACGTTTCTAATTCTTGCATTATTTATAGATGGTTACTAAAAAAAAAAAAACTGTCATTTTATTTTTCTTTATTTATCATGTTCATATATAAGCACGCACTTATTTTTTCTACATTTGGCTAGTACAATTTCCATTCATCGCTATAAAGGTTTAGCCAGTACAATTTCCATCCATTATGTAGTAAGTACACTATCAAGAGAACAAGGAGTTGCAACAACAATTAGAGGATTTTTTTTGTGGATACTTATACCAGGAGCTTCAGTTATGTCAAAATCCTCTTCACTGTCCCCACCAGGAGATGCAAAATCAAACTTAAGCACAAGATTTGCTAATGCAAACTCATAGATAGTTATGGCAAAGTGGATGCCTGGACAACCCCTCCGGCCAGTTCCAAATGGAATCAACTCGTAGTCGTGCCCTTTGAAATCTATTGAAGAATTCAAGAACCTCTCTGGCCGAAAAACTTCGGCTTCTTCCCACGACAATGGGTCTCTCCCAATTGCTGAAACATTGATGAACACTTGTGTCCCAGCTGCAATGTCGTAGCCCATTACTTTGACATCCTGGGTTGATTCCCTGGGAACTAGTAATGGTAGCGGAGGATGTAATCGCATAGACTCCTTGATCACTGCTTTCAAGTATTGCATTTTCTCAAGATCATCCTCGGTTATTTCTACCTTGCCTCTGGCTATCCCTCGCACCTCATTTTGTAGTTCTTTCATGACTTTCGGATGTCTCATAAGCTGTGTCATCGTCCATTCTAGAGCTGTGTATGTAGTTTCAGTTCCAGCAGAAAACATATCCTACAAGAAACAAAAGATATATAAACAGAGGTTACTTCAGAAAATAAATATTTAACTCCAAGGATTGGTCTAATTGAAAAAGACTTAGAATTCCGGTGCCTCATGGGTTTCCGGATACGTCAATGTGACCCGAAAGTTGACCCAATAACGTATCTAGAATGCGAAAGCAGAAACAAAAACAAAGTCTATGGGGATATTCGGTATTTCTAAGACACAAACATGACTTCCCATGAAGCCATGGAACTAAAAGAAAACAAATGCGGAAGCAAAAGGGTAAAAATAGACCAAGTATGCCCCCAAGGGCAAAATAATCATTTCACATGTAAATAAAGTCTCAAGAAATGTACGTCATCCCTAAGACACAAACATGGCTTTCCATTAAGCCACGAAACTTTAAAAAAAACAAAATACGGAAGCGACGTTTTAAAAACAAACAATTTTAGTCTTAGGAGCAAAACGGTAATTTTTAGAAAATTATGAGTGCTACCGGCACATCATTAGATAGAAGGCAAAAAATTAAAAATCACTTGATTCGGAGACTGAACGAAGAAGAATGAACAAAGACAAAACCGGCATCGACGCAGCCAAGAGAGGGCACCAGGGCACCCGCGCGGCCCCGTGCGCGCGCACCGCGCACATCCGGCGGTCTGAAAAAAGCCCAAGAACAGTTAGTAAGTATAGCAAAAAATTACCAAGATGAGTGCTTTGATAGTGTCTCTTTGAAAAGAGAAGTCATCCATGTTTTCTCTTTGAATTTCAAGCAAGACGTCCACGAAGTCCTGTTGTTTTTTAGCTTCATCAACACTCCTGTCCATATGATCATCAATTACACCCTCCAAGAATTCATCCACCTCTTTAAAAACTCTCTCCACTTTAGCATTCAAACCATTAATTTGATTCAACCACACAAGCCAAGGAATATAGTCCCCCACATTGAAAACGCCCGTTAGTTCCCCAATATCCCCCAAAATCTCATTAAAATTTCTACCACTGTTCGAGCTTTCACTGTACTTCCTCCCCAAGGCTATCCGACACACTACATCATTAGTAAGTGAACCAAACATTTCACTCAAATTCACCACCGAAGAAGAAGAACAAGCCCTTTTGATCTTCTCGGTCAAAAGGGTTGTTTCTTCTTCTCTCACTCTACGGTAAGACTGAACTCGCCTATTACTCAGAAGGTTGAGCACGCAAATGCTTTTTACTTGCCTCCAATACTCTCCGTAAGGAGTGAATGCGACGTCCTTCCCATAGAAAAGTCTGCTGGCAATGCTTGATTTAGGTCTGCCTGCGAAGATGACATCGTGGGTTTTCATGACCTCACGAGCTACATCTGCAGAGGAGACGATGAGAGCCGGTTTGCTGCCGAGGTGTAGCAGCATGATCGGTCCATATTGTTGAGCTAGTGATTGGAGAGAACGATGGGGGAGCACACCAAGTTGATGGAGGTTTCCGATAATTGGTAGCTTTGGTGGAGAAGGAGGTGGATTTCTTTGGGTTTTTACGGTGGACAGCCATTTGAAAAGGATGACTACCGAGAAGAACAATGGAGGGAGAGAGTAAAATAGAATATCCAATAAGAACACCATAATTTCTTGGTCTGGAGAGTTAATTCTAGATATCTCCCTAAGAACAAGTTATCTACTCAGAGTGTGTATATAAAAAAGAGAGAGAGAGAGGCTAAATGGATCATGGTCTCTTTTATTGTTTTTTTTTTTTTTTTTGTCTTGCCACTGCCGTTTGACTGCCTTGCTTGAATATTTTAAGTTTGATCCTTTCATCTAAATGTTATTTTTATCAGTTTGGCTATTCTTTGTTATTGATCTCTGTGCTTCTGCTGGTCAAATACACAATTGAACAAATTTCAAATATCACGAATAATATATGTATATGATGAGTAACTGATTGTTATGTCTTTTTTTAGTACTTAAATCTTTTTTTAGATGACATTCATAGGTCATTATGTTTATTTTTATTTTTTTAATATGCAAGAGATCACTTCAGTGTATATAATATTAATGTACATTTTTCAATCACTGGTTTAACACAATATATAATAAAAGGAGACGTTTTCTTTCTGAATTTTAAATATAACAAAGAAAATTAGGTTTCTTTCCTTTTTTTCATATTTTAAATTTTAAAAAATACATATGCCGTCATTTCCTTGTACCATGCTAGTAGTTGAAAGAGTTCCTTGCAAGATCTAAAAGAACATGTGCCACTTGGTGATCAAGTTTAATCAAAATTAAAGTTCATATATTAGATGTTAGTTCACTAATTACAACGGCTCAAAACAATTTAATAATTTAATCAAATGTGATTTGTATGCATTCTTTGGGTGGGACCTTAAGAAATTAAAAGCAATAACACAAACATTTTGAGCTCTATTATAAATGTTGTGACCTCGCTTATAAAAAAAAACCCATTTTAGCTTCAACCAATTTAAACACGTTTTTTAATTAAATTTTGTTTTATTTTTATACCATGACAGGTAATTTATAATCTCAATTTTGTTTCTAACTGAACTTAAACCCTCATATCTATCAATTTAGAAAGTACAAAAAAAATTATCACTAATTAACAACTCTTAGAGGTAACAAGTCTTGGTTTTAATCTTCGTAAAATGTTCTCGGTTAAAAATATTGGACCACTGATCTAGTAAAACCAAGTGTGCTGCCATCATTGAATGCTTATAACCTTATCACTGTCTTTGAAGAATATTGACAAATTTGCATCAAAACTCACTTTCATTTGACAACAATTTGGTCAACATAATAAAATGATGAGGTTTCTCTTCTACCTTTCCAACTGAAAATAATTTTTAAGTTCTCATGTGATATTAAATGAGAGTGTGAATCTCTAATTAAAGAAAATAAAATATAAAAATAAATATATTAAATTAAAAATTCATAATAAAATTATCATCAAAAGCTAATCTCTGATGGAGAACACGCTATATAATTGGACTTCAAAAAAGGTCTTTATTTTTATTTTAGCATGACAAGTAATTCATACCTAAGTCACGTAAATCGAGAACAGATGCGACAGCGAATTCGAGAGCGGAAGTGTGAGAGTGGTGGAATTAAATTATAAATAATGATAATTTGAGCTAGAGTGCGTATAGAGCGCGAGAGTGAGAGCTCGCTCGAAACGTAATAGTGACACTCATTAAAAATAATTGTGTAACTTAGATTCATACACTCAATTTTATCTCTCACAGAACTTCAACTCCCGATCTTTCAATTTAAAAATAAAAAAAATAATAAAAATACGTACTAAATTACAACTCTTGGGCCATTGAACTAGTAAAACCAATTTACAACTCTTTGTGATAACAAGTCTTCCTTTTAATCTTTCAAAACTGTTTTTCTGTTTAGAATATTGGGACGCTGAACTAGTAAAACCAATTTTCAACTCTTCGTGATAACAAGTCTTCCTTTTAATCTTTCAAAAATGCTTTTCTGTTTAGAATATTGGGCCATTGAAGTAGCAAAACCAACTTTCAACTCTTCGTGATAACAAGTCTTCCTTTTAATCTTTCAAAAATGATTTTCTGTTAGAGTATTGGGCCATTGAACTAGAAAAACCAACTTACAACTCTTCGTGATAACAAGTCTTCCTTTTAATCTTTCAAAAATGTTTTTCTGTTTATTGGGCCATTGAACTAGTAAAACCAATTCTGCCGCCATCTTTGAATGTTTATTATAACCTTATTATAGTCTTAATTTAAGAATCTGGACAAATTTGTACCAAATTTGATTTTCATTCAACTAGGGGTTTTATGATGACGGGAACGTTTGAGAAATGGCTATATGATATTTCTTTCGCAGATTTGAATTACATATTAAAATGTCGTTGTTTCAAATTTAATCATATTATAAAATATGATGAAATTCAATAAGATTGACCATATAAGTATATGTAATAAAATAAATTCATATTCGATTCGTATGCAATGTATACTAAATCTAAGATTTTGTAATCATATTCGATTCGTATGCAATTTATAGCATTAAAAATAAATAAATAAATAAATAAAAGCAGTCATATTCAAGCCTGTGTCAGTAAATATTTCGTGCTGCATTTTAATTTAAAGCGATATACTAGGTATAAAGTTTTTGTTCAATAGAGTAACAGTGCTTATACATTATTAAAATTTTAGTACACAAGCCTTGACATTTCTGCGGCTTTTGTTGGACAAATATATATTATTTTAATCCATTTTTACACTACACAAGAACAATTTGTGTGAGATATTTTTTTGTAATTGGCATATTTCAGTAACAAAACAAGTCATAGTCGAGTTATAATTTCAGTTACTATATCAAACTTGACATCGACTGCGGAATTCAGAAATTGATCAGAAGAGGAAAGTACTGTTGATCATCGACAAGGAAAGAATAATATATTAGGCCTTCGTTTCCCACTTAGGACACAAATACCTTTATGGTATATTTTTAAAGTTCCAAAAATACAGAAAATCCAAGTTCAGGATGGATTCTGTCAAGTGGGAACCGGTTCCAGAAGTTAAGATTCGAGAACAACTCTCTGTCCTTTGGGAACCAGTACCAAGATTGGGAACCGGTTCCAGAAGTCCTAATTGCAACAGGCTTCCAGTTTCCTTATTCTATTGAATACCTTTTTGATCCAGCTTTCCTTCCAAATCTTATGCACAAAATTTCCTTTATTTTCAGAAGGAATAGGACTTTGCAAACCTCTATATAAACCATGTCATACATATAAGTTTATTCATGAATTTTAATCATTATTCATATATCATACAAAGCCTTAGGAAGTTTATCCCTCTCAGAAAATCAAAGTTGATTTTTCTATTGTCTTCCTAGAACATACACATATTCATCTAGTTAGGTTAGAGTTGTAGAGTTCAAATCCTGATTGTGATCATACAGTTGTATCTACTTCGATCAGACAAAAACAAATCTTCTTCTACATCAAGTTCAGATGATTGAAGAACAGAAGTAAACGCAATCACACTTTGAAAGTGTTGGAGCATTCGAGGAGTGTTATCTGATCTACCTGCTACTCTTCTACAAATATCAAGCATAAGTCTGAGGTCAAGTTGCTGTTGGACGGGGAGTCGCAAAGCCAGAGGATTGTCAGTAGTTGGTGTTTAGTAAAACGATAGGGCGTGAACCAAAGTCAAAGTTCGGTATACTTTGTTTCAAGTATAGTGGATTGGTTTACTTTGGACTGCATAATCCACGAGGTTTTTCCCATAACAGTTGACGTATTTTATCAACTGAGGTTTCCTTACTATAATCCTGGTATCATCTCTAACTTTATACTTTATTTTATATTATATGCATGTAATTAACTGTTTAATTGCTAAAATAAGTAAAGTTGGTAAACGACACAGATCTGTTTTAAAAAATCTAAAACTTTCTTAAGTACATTCCGCTGCGTACGACTCACAAATTGGTATCAGAGCCAATCTCTACACATTGAGTTGATCCTTGTTAGAAAGTTTTGTTTTGTGTTCAAAAATTGTTTTCGAAATTATATCTTATGCGTTGAAAGAATGTGGTTTTAATCAACGTGGTCCTTTATTTGAAGGAGATAATTACAATTTTTTGAAATCAAAGATGAAAGCTTATTTGCAAAATTCTGGTAATAAAATTTGGGCAATAGTTGAATCTGGCTATACACCTCTTACAGTAGATACAACTGTGGATGGGAAAATAGTCAAATAGTTAAAAGATACTTTTGTTTTTACTGCTATTGAAACTGAGCGTAATGATACTAATGGCAAAGTTTTATATTCAATTATTAATTCTGTTGTTCCATCTGAATATGCTAGAATTTTTATTGTAAAACTGCTAAAGAAGCTTGGGATATTTTGCAGGTTACTCATGAAGGAACTTCGAAAGTGAAGTTATCCAAAATTCAGTTGCTCTCTCATAAATTTGGAAACATCGTGATGAAAGAAGATGAATCATTTTCTGATTTTTATTCTAGTTTTCTTAAAATAATTTCTTAACTGCATCACTTAGGTAAAAAAGTTAGTGATAAGAAAATCTGTGAGAAAATCTTAAGGTCTTTACCTAAAAGATTCTAGATTAGGGTTGAAACCATCTCTGAACTTTGGGATTTGACTACCTGTTCATTAAAAACTTTTGAGATACAGAATTTTGATTTAAGTCAGAAGGAGAAAAATCTTGCTTTAAAATCTACACATGTTGAGAATTCTGTGAATGATGACTCTGATGATGATATTACATTCTTGTCTAGGCAATTCAGTCAGATTTTGCAAAGGCAACAGAGGAGAAAAAATAACAATGATAAGCGCTGAAAAGTGCGCATTTAAACCCCTTAAACTTGAACGTTTTAGGACCTTATTCTATCTTATTTTCCCATTTTAGTTTAATTTCATGTTATTTCCCTTTTTAGGCACTTATCCCCAAAATAAGTCAATTTAGCTGAATTAGAGCATAAAAGAAGCAATCTCAAGCTTAATGGAAAAAAGGAGCAAAGTGGAAGCAAAGTAATGAAAGGAAGCCCTCTTTGATCGATTGAATCAAGCTCCGATCGATCACACAGTGATTGTTCCAACCATGCCATGATAGATCGATCATTTTGTCTTTATCCTCAAGAAATTTCCCTTTTCGATCGATCCAACATTCCTTCCATCGATCGAAGATTTTTGATCTTATCCTCACCTACCACTTTTATCCTTTTCCCAAAATATCCCGAAAATATCTCAACTTTGTCATTATTCCAAAGAGGCACAGCCATAGTTAGATCGGTCGAAGCACCTTTGTGATCGATCGAACTGCCTCAAGTGCGAGAAAAACAGAGTTACAGCCAATTAAAAGGTGTGCTCATGGTGTAATCATTTGGAGGTCCTAATGCACGAGGTCTGACCATTGGGTGTGACATTTGAGCTACCTATATAAGGATTTTGGCCATTTGGAGGACAGAGAACATATACTTTTAGAGGGGAACCATATACAATATAGAGGCGGGA